AAGAGGAGCCGGAATTGATAGGCATTTTTGTGACTAATCAGAATTTGTGTTTCTGATTGGTCACAAAGACAGTAATGTAAAAAATTGTCATTTGGAGACAATTCCAACTCAAGGCAACCCCATATCAGAATACAACTGTGTTCCACAGGATTTTCAATTTCCCAAATCTTTCTTCTGACATACCTCAGGTTGGATTTGAACCTCCAGTCTTTCAGTAAGCAGCTGGGCACAGAAGCTCATTGTCTTACTCAGAGACTCCAGTAAGGCATATATAGTATAAGGAAGGTGAGAGATCTAAGAGTTTGGTTTTAGATTCCTTCAATGACAGTGAACCAAGGAAGAAATGAGGGCCTGAAACTTAACCCTGTATCTTTTCATCATACCTGGTACCATTTGCTACCAGCATGATTACATCTTCTTGTAGCTAGTTGTTCAGGCTTTCATTCTTGGGGATGAAATAAAGATCTTACAGATTTTTGGCATCTCCTCCAGCGCCTCCAGGTCTCCTGAACTCCCAAGGCACAAAAGTGGCCTTGGCATAGGGTAGACAAATATCTGTGTGGGAAGGAGTTATTTCACAATTGAAGTGACCAAGAAGGGAGGTAGTTTCTGGGTACAACTGTGGCCCACTTTGCCTTTGAAGATCACTGATTGCCCCCTCCCCCCCCCCACCCCCAGCTGATTTGGGAGACAAAAATATATAAAGATAACACCTACAAAATGACATGGTATTGTTGTTAAGAGCTGAGGAGGGCATAGGCTACTACAGAGGCTACCACTCTAGGTCAAAGCCAACTTCCTGAAGAAGTGGCGTGTGGTCTCAGGGCTGTGAAGAGAGAATAGGAACCCCATTACTTTGAGAAGGCCTTCATCTCAATGATTTTCCATGAAGGCAAGGTGGGCATTTTCTTACCTGCCTTTTCCTGTTGACAAGGGTACACCCAAGCTCCAGGAACCAACTGATGGGCAATCAATGATCTTCAAAGGCTCCCCATGTGATTATGGTGCAGCCAGAGTCAAGAACCACTGGTGTACGTGAACCTAAGCATTTAGAGAGATGGGGACCCCCCATGACAGTGGGGCAATGAGATGAACCTGGTTGGAATGATGAAGACATTCTTTTTCAGTGGAACTGGGTATCAGAGCAGTGGCTCCTGACACGTGATGACCAACTGTCTTGAGGGAGGGGAAGTTAACATGTTTTAGACAAAAAAGATGCCTAGTAATATGACACTTTCAGAAGGCAGTATGTGGTTAACACACCAGTGTTGGGCTCCTCGCGTCACTGAGCAGGACTTAGTTTGGCCTTACAACTTCTGTGAGGGGCAGCTTTAGAACACCTGTGATTTCTGGTTTTCCCAGCACCATCCTGTTGAAGAACTGGTTTTGAAGGAGATCTGTTGTTGCTTCAGGTTTCCAAGTCAGAAAGCACCAACCCTTGTGACACTGGTAGGGTTCCTGGGAAGCATTGTGTGTCAGCAGCCGATGTTCCATGCTCAGCAGGATGACCTTTAGACTGTTCTCCAGCCTCCCTCTCTTCTTCCTTTACAATCATGCAAAGTCCCAAACACTACAAGAGCCAACCAGTGTGATCTAAAAATCAATTCTGGGCCCATTGAGCCGTTATCGCAAAACATTCTGTGGGTCTTATGATATCATATTTGAGGGGCTAAGAACTGTCAGAACACTCCTCTTCCAAATAATCAACAGGGAATTCCACACCATCCCCATGCCAACTCAGCTACTGAGAGAAGATGAGGAAAAGAAATGTTAGTAAGTGCCTCTTGCTTCCTCATATAAGGTTTGAAGCAGTGAGTGGACTGCAAACTTCAAAAACTTAAGTGAGCTAAAGAGGACAGAAAGGTGAACTTCTTGAAAGGTAGTGTGATGTCCACAAAGACAGGGGGGATCAATTTGTAGAGTTTGGTAAAGAAATAGAACAGGGAAGAATTACACTTAAGGGAATACATGATCTCAAATTACCTTGCCTTCCATAAACCAAATCCATTGTCATCAAGTGGTTTCCAACTATAATTCTGACTCTGTATAGGAGTTCTAGTGTGGCACTCTGTGTTAATGTGCCAGACTGCAAAGCCGTTTGAACTGCAAAGTTGGTGGTTCAAGCTCACCAGCTGCTCCTCAGAAACCCTACACAAGGTCGCTATGGGCCAGAACCGACTCGACAGCACTTAGCAACAACATAGGAGTCTTGGTGTACTGCCACAGGATAAATAAAAAATTCCACCTCAAGGTTGGTTTGAACCACAGGTTGGCAGTTCAAACACACCAGTCACTCCTCGGAAACCTTATGCAAGGTGACTATAAGTTAGGGAAGACTCGACTGCACGTTAACAATAGTTTTTGAGAATAAAGCTTTGAAGAAGCGGACAGCCCAACGCCTAATCCGCAGCATCACCAGGTCTTCTTACAAAGAGCAGGAAAGATTTCTGCCTCCATTTTCTAGTCAGAGGTCTAAGACAAAGTAGAAGACAGGAACAGTCTATAGATGGTTCTTGATCTCAGGGCCCAGCACTGGCCCAAGAGCTGCATCCTATTAAGTTCCTTTAGTCCGGCTGCCCAGGTGGCTCTGGTCTGACTTTTGCTGTCCCGTCTCTACAATGCGCAGGACGTCCAAGATCCTTCTCAATCAACTTGTGACTCTCAAGTCACGATTCTCACGATAAACAGCAATGTAGCTGTCCACATGTTTCCTACAATGGACTGTGCCCAAATTTTTGTCCACCAAGGTAGCTTCATCAAGACTCAGTGCCAGGTGTACAACTGCTCTTTGCTGGCTGCATGCACGAATGACAGGATGTCAACGTGGTTGCAAATGTTATGCCTAAAAAATTCTAAAAAATATGTTATCTGTTCAATTCTTCACGTAACTGCCTCCCTCCTCTCCTAAGTGCTGAGCAGATCTGAAATTTAAGTTAGAAGCATGAGAAAACAGTGGTTGTGTGAAGAGAAGTAAAACGGAGCCCCAAAACCAAAAAACCACAATCATGAAATGATAGAACTGGATGACAAAATCCTTACTGGTGCTTTAAAACTACTGTGGGTTCACTGTACTTTTCCCCTTTAAAAGTAATTTAAAAAACAAGATTCAAACAGAGACCAATAACACAGAAAATTATTTACAAAACCAAAGGTAAATAACCTAATGTGGCCCAGTTGCACTTTGAAAGAATCTGAAAAACAAAAAACAAAACCACCTTTTTTTTTTCTTCATTTCTCCCAGAACGGTAGTGTTGCAAACTAGAGAATGCCTTAACTGCAAAGGGTAGAGAAAAGGCCCCAGAACTCAGAACCAGACACAGCAATGGGAAAACCACCACTCAAACACACAAGTGGCATTTTGTGATCAAATTTATTTTTTGTTTAAATTTCATTTACTTTGTTTTACTGTAATTTACACAAGAGACTGCCAAGTAAACTAGGTATTTTACATTCATCACACATTCCCTCCAATCTGCACAGTTGTTAGAAAAACATTAAAATCTATGCACCGGCTCTTGCTTCCACGTGCACCCGAGCTCCCAGCGAAGCTACAGATGCTGGTTGAGAGTGCGTTTCATTAAGTGGGAGAGACTTTTGATTTCACAAAATTAACCCTCCCCTTCGCACTTTGCACACAATGATTATGCTTTGACGAGACCCATCTTAAAGCAGTGCCCAGAGAGTAAATGCCAGTTTTCACCCTGAGAGTACAGAGACCATCTGACACATGGGACTTGCTGCCTAGGAATTGGACACTGTGGTGCAGCAGCCATCTTCAACATCCTATGTTATCACTTCAGTTGGTGCAGGGGGCACGTGGGAAACTCAGGAGCAGGGGGGTGGCTGTCAGCACTCAGGTTACTAGAGCCAGTTGACTGCAGGGGCTGGTGTGTCTCAGAAGGATGCGAGGTAAGAGTTAGTGACCGGAAGGCTTTGACAGTTATCACTCTACTCAAGCTCCCAAGGACTGATGTGACAAAAAACTGGATCCAGACAGAGAAAGCTGATACAAAGCTTACCTAGCTATTGTTCCTTTCTTAAAATAAAAGATGGTGGCTTCTAACCAGCATTTTCTGAATGCTTATCTAAGACATATTCCAATGGATGTCCTACGTCAGAAAGAAAGAACTCAAAAGGGTGGAGGGAGGTGTGGCTACCTCTGGGCGGGGTCTCCTACCTGGGCAGGCAAGCCTCATGCTTAAATTCTTCCTATCTCAAAGTCAGCATCTTCCCTTAAGGTATATTTTCAACATGAAAAGCGCACAAGGGCAGCACTACATTCACTCTATTCTATTGTGTAAGTTGTGATGAATCTAGACCACTTGCATAGTTTCCAAACTATAATTTCAGAAGACAGTCATTTCAGAAACAGGTTTCTGGAGAAGTGCCGTAAGTCCAATGTCTCTACCCAGCCTGCAATGCTATTAAGATGAATTTCTTAACCAATTCCCTGGTCTAACAGGTGCCTGGAAACTGTATAGCAGTGTTTATTACAAATCACAAACCATCATCTCCATTTTGCTAGGTTTGATGTAGAAAAATATGTGAAATTTAAAATACAAAAATCCAATAAAAACCAGAATTTTTTTTTAAAGGATTTTTCCTTCAGGGCAAACAAGTAAAAATCAGCATGTAAATTTGCTCCTTCCTATTAGATACTGTGAAATTTGGCTATATGATAATGACCATCCAGAAATAAATAGTTATAAATACATTCAGAGGATACATTCCAGATTTACTGGGCTACTAAAAAATTTAGACTACACTTTTTCTGTGGGAGTCTGTTTGTTGAAGGGCTGAAAATACCAATTTCTAAGAGACTGATTTAAAAGAACAGAAAAATAATAAAAGGCTATATATATATAATATATATTGGTCCACAGCTTGACATTTATGAAACAAACCAGCTAGTATTACATTGCAGTCAATTTGTCCATGAATGGTAGTACTCTGATAATTATTAAAATCTGTTCCAGGTATATATATTGAAAATATTTTCTTTTGCATTCTTGTTGAAGATAGGTACAGTACTTTGGAGAAATTGTACTAATCCCTTCAGTATGTTCGTCTGTACATATATATACACACAAGTGTGTGTGTCTTGCTCTGTAGCTCTACATGCATTTTATATACAGCTACAGACACACGCACATACATATATACACACGTGGTTGAGAACCTGTGCATGTGTGTACATAACCACAAGCACTCATTTGGGAAACATCAACACTGCAAGATACTGGTCAGATTCGTCTTCACTCGTCACTGGCTGCACTTGTTCCCCTCACTTGACCTTGATTACGTAACTGTAGGAAAAGGGAAAGAGTACAGGTTGTTAAAATACAGGGAAACACACACAAAAAATGATACGTCATACACATTCTCCAGAAAAAACTCTAATGTATCAAAGCTTTCAGCAGAAAACATATCCTCAACAACTACATTTAAAAAGTTTTTATCTTTCTTAAAGATTTTTGTGTAACTAGTGATACAGCATTTTGTTTCCTCAGAGGGAAAAATAAAGTAGAAGTAGAAATAAGTCACAGAAATGTGACTTAACAAAAAACAACAGTAAGAAAAAAAAAATACATGAAGTTAAGCAAAGGGCTTCAGAGGCAACTTGGGAGAGCTGATTCACGTATTTACTTCTGACTATTGAACACTTCATTTATCCCCATGCCCAATAATTAGACAACAGGTAGCTCACAGAAGAGTGCAGCAAAAAAAAGAAAAAAACAAACAAAAAAAAAAACCAACCCACAGCGGAACAAGGGGGGGAGTGTTATATCTTGTTCTTTGCTAATAAACATCTTAGTTCAATATTAACAAATGATGACAGCATACTGTTGATTTTTGGTTGCTCACACTGGTTTCATTCAATATGTGGGGTAGATTTTTATGCACTTTTCTCCAGGCTAAGCAAATCTCTTATTAAGAGTATATAAATTTGTCTTATAGAAATTTTACGACCACAGCAGTTTTATTTTAAAATTGAAAGTGAAGTGCATATCAAAGTTAACTGTTTGAATAACTGAAGAGTCAACATGAAAGAAGACTTTCTGGGACACAGGAAATATTTCAACTAAAATGGACTGCTAAAGTTGGGACTCGGGGGATGGACGAAGGACTTTCCTTAGTATGATTTCAAGTGCTTTTACATACTTAAACTACAAATGGTCTTGCTAAGAAATTGGTATTAACCAGGGCTTCACACTGGCTCCTCCTGGTTCAGTCATAGCCATTGAAGGGAAACCAGAAGGAACCCAAATTGGTAAAATGTTGGTGAACCTTTATGACAACCAAAACGCTTAAAGTAACAGGTGGATACACTACTAGAAACTTAACCTCCCTCTTAGAAAGTAAAAGCAGTGTGGGTGTTGCTTAACAATGAAATCTCTTGACTGGCAGAGTAAAAAACAATAGCACCCCTTCAAATACGGCGACCAACCATGTTGCTTTGAAGGTGTATTGCTATCCACATTCCTGGCAATAATTCAATCTCCTGCATCAGGTTCTTGAAATGGTTCACTATGCCCTTCCAAGTATCCTACTTCAGGGCTTCAACCCTTAATTTTTCCTGTTCTGGCTATTGTTCCACTTCATCTAATTTTTAAAAATTTTGAGTCTGTGCTGATTTTGATTCACTCATCATGAATGAACCGGTCTGAACCAGTTCAAAGGCCTGCAATGAACTTGCTCTGGATGAAGCAAACTCAGCTGGTGTCTATGATGATATTACATACTGAATGAGTGTACTTGGTAGCTGGTTTTCTCACTGTAAATGCTTAGAACTAGCCCAGGATTATGAAATCCAACGTGTTCCCCATGGATAAAATTCATACAGAATGATAATGCAAGTGGCCACTGTCAATTTCTAAAATATGTTATCTTTTACATTTCAAAAATAAAACCACGTGTAACATTTAAGCTAGAGGTACAGCAAGTTAACTAACTACCCATAACCAGAACAATGTTGATTTTCAAACAGTTCTTTTACTGAGGTCTTCACTTACACAGTTTGATATTGTCTCTGACCCTACAGGGGACTCATCTAGACATCAGCAGCCGACGTGCCTCGGACGGAACCCTTCTTACGCATCTAAACGTAAAATAAAATCATGAGCTGCTAAAATCACAGAGAGAGGGAGAAAGGAGAATTAAAACCAAAAAAGAAAAAAAAGTCTCGAGAGATTTTGAAGTGATGGCTGCCTGTTTATAACCATATCCACATTGAGAATGAAGTTCTGAGGCCTCTTAGTCTAAAGACAGTTTTGCAAATTGGCCTTTTCTTTACACAGCAGGAGAACTATTGAATCTAAGAAATAAGAGGATATACACTGATGATATGAAACTACCAAAGACAGCCAAGTGTAAAGGAATGGTTCTCTCCGTATGAGGGAGCTTCAAAAAGTTTGTGAGAAAACTGGAATTGAAAGATAATGGAATTTTCCTATGAACGTTATGAAGCCCCCTTATATAATACAAGGGAACATTCCATTGGTCTGGCCTATCTGTTCCTAGTTCCTGGAGCAGATCCTTCAGCTGCTTTTAAAACCAGGGCCTCTCAGAGGACTTCTTAAGCATAAATTTACTTAAGAGAGGAGAGGATGAAGGCAGAACAAGATATACCACAGAACACAAAACAAGGAGGCATTCAGAACCATCATCTACTGACAATCGTAAAGACTTAATGAGGAAATCAAAGAAGAAAGGAAAGAAAAGGAGTAAATATAACAGGCACATTTAAAACTACACACACACAAAAACAAAAACAAACAAAAGTACTAACGGAACAAATAGGTATACATTTGCTTCTAGTATTCCTCTGGTTGCTAAACCCAACCCCAGGGTTGCTTTTTAGGGTTCAAAGCAAGGGTAGTCCTCTTCTGCCCTGGCTTCTAAAGAGGCTAGTTGTTGGCTAAGCTAAACTGTATTCTTCAAAACTGTCTTATAACCCCCACCCTCTACGGTTATGATTATAATGAGATGTCTTTCTGATGTTAATGGGGCAGGAGTGTGCCTTGAGTCAATCTTCTGAGATACAAAAGAGATTAAATAAGCAAGTTGAGAGCAGAGATGGGTAAAGAGAGATTCCAAGATACATGGAGATCTCCAAGGAACCAGGAAACTGAAGCAGAAGAGACAAGGACCTTCCCTCCAGAGCAGGGAGAGAGACAGTCTTCCTCTAGAGCTGGCACTATGAATTTGAACTTCAAGCCTCCTAAATGGTGAGCACTCATTTGTGGTTATTTCTGTTCTAGCTCCACTAGATAACTAAGACACTATTTCCTTCTCTCCATAATTAAAACTCATAAATTCAATTTTCAAAACTGGCAAACTTAGAAGAGAGTAACAGTGCATCAAGTTCTTATCAGCAGGTGTCAGAGGAACCGGACCTCCGAATGAGGGCGTTGAAAGCTCTCAGTGGTGAAGAGGACTTTCACAGGAGGTGGGCGCGCTTTCTGGGTAAGCATCGATTCTAAAGATGTCTACAAACCATCTGTTAAGACCCAATGCAGAAGCAAGTCAATGTGGAATAAGGCACCCCCTAATGACTAAGTAGAGTAATGGTTATGAATCGGGCTGCGAGCCGCAAAGTCAGCAGTTCGAAACTACCAGCCGCTCCGCGGGAGAAAGATGAGGCGTTCTGCTCCCGTAAAGATTTACAGCCTTGGAAACCCTGTGTAGGGTCGCTATGAGTTGGAACCGACTCCACGGCACACAACAACAACAACAACAACGACCACAAATCACATAAGGAACAGCACTTAAGACAAAAAATGTGTCTTTAAGTAACTGACCAGCTGCTCTTACCCTGGTGTTGTGCTGTGGGTTAATGCGCTGGACTGCAAGATCATTTGAACCGCAAGGTTGGTGGTTCAGTCTCACCAGCTGCTTCTGAGAAACCCTATACAGGGTTGCTAATGAGTGTCGCCGGCACTTAACAACAAGAGTTTTACAGTGTCTAGAGGGAAGTAGTCCTTTTATGCCATGTGGATACAATATCTTCTCATAAAGCAGGCTACCGCCTCATAACTTCTCTTATGTATTCTTACTGTGTGTCAATACTAAAGTACCACCGACTGACTTGTCTGAAGAAGTAGCTAAGCCTGCACATCCACTGCTGCGGGTGGGCACAAGAGGCACCCCTTGTGTTTGGGGATCCTGATGTTGACTGCAAGCTTGTGAGGAAAGCAAAAGAACTTCCAGGGGAAGGGTGGGAAGAGGGAAGGGAGTCCAGGAGTCTGGAGGCAGGCAGGGCTAATACTCCCACCAGGTCAATACTGACAGCTCTTCTTCAGATTATGATAGTTCTACAGCATACAAATCAGAACCATGAGTTTCCTGTCGTGTTTGGTAAATCCTTGTTGGAAATGCCAGCCATATCATGAGTCTAGTATGAATGAGTATAATTCCACTGCTGTCTTTCTGGATGTCCAGCAGAGATGGAGCTGCTCTAATGGGATGAAGGAAAGATGGCAGGTATTCTGGAGCCTGAAGCACTTGAAGAGGGGAAAATGGCAAAGGTAGGGAAGAGAGAATTCAAAACGGAGGTGAAGGGGTTCTTGGAAAACAGCACCTGGCTCTTGAGCAAAGAAAAAAAAAAAATGGGAAAAGAAGAGGGAGGCACGGCACCCCACCATACTCCTCTACATGTTTCAATGTTTTGCCCATGGGGTGAATCAAATAAAGGGGTGGAGGAGAGTTGTACATGCTCCCCACTCTGAAGATCCAAGGTCATCCAATTAGTAGAACATGGGGTTCAAGAGGTTCCCACTGGCTGGCCTAGAAATCTAATCCCTACTTAGAATGTTGTTTCTGTGGGAAAAGGTATGTTCCAAATTTCAAACAATCAACTTAAAATTTTTGGAACAAAATCCATTCATAAGCTGGAGACTGCCTATAGTTTACTTTATGTCTAAGATAAGGTTAAAACATTTTATTGCCTTATAAAGGAAGTATGTTCTGGTCTTCTCAGAAGGTTTGTACAAAACTAATTAGAAGCAGATCTGCTGTAATCACCAAAAGTAAGCAATCTTAAACACAGATTCTTTACGATGCCATGTGCCAGAAAAAGGGCTTCTCTTCTGTGCCAAACAATCTGATTCATGGCCATTCTCCAGTGATTCCACAGAGTTCCTCCTGTACTCACAGGCATTCGTCAAAGGCTCGAGCCTGCAGGGCTTCCAACATGGACTGCTGGCAGGACTTGTGATGACTGCATGGAGACTGACTGCTATCCTGTCCTACACATTCCTCGGGTTCAGTTCCCTAGTGGGGCTTTACTGCCAACTCAAGAGAAGTGGGCCAGGAGAAAAGCAGAGCTAGGCACATGCGAGACAGTGTCAGGGAAGAGCGAGTCCCTGGGAGAGACACAAGGAGTCCGTGCACACCCTGCAGGGTGGTGGCTCTCTGTGGTAATGAGGAGATACGGGGTGCTTTGACTTAGAAAGATGCTGTGAGGGCACCTGGCCCAAATACCACCTGAACTTTTGCCTACTGTTTGTGAAGAAATAAGGGTTCCTTACTGGTTGGGAAGAGAAAAAGTGTTTCTAGAGTCGAGGACAACAGCACTAGCCTTTACCTTTTCTACAGAAGAAGGAAGAAAGACTTGCTCTGATAATGTGTATGATCTCCCAAGCAAGCCAGAGGCATGCTGCTTGGTTAGCCACAATGAATCATTATACAAACACTGTGGAACTAGCTAACAGCACAGAGATAGCACATTAAAAAGAACCCAGAACTACTGGGCATTTCACAGTGAACAAGTTCTAGATCAAGGACACTCAAGTCTACCTTCATAGAAGATGCTCAAAACGCAAGAAACTAGAAATCAGGATAGTAGTGTCTACGACACTTGACTTTGATGAGGATAAACAGATTTGTGGATGGCTTTCAGAAACACTTGTCTGGAGTCTAAGGCTACACTTACTAATAAGCACGTCAATGATTTGGAAAAGGACAATTAGAGAATTACCACAGAGAGAAAGTCTTACTGTTTCTAGTTCTTTTTGAGTTTCATCTTCCATTCTCCTAATGTCTTCCATGGTCAGATCAATCCACTTGTCAATCCAACAAAAAAGCTGGCGATGAAAGTTTGTAAATATCCTTTTTTCTTGCTTTTAAAACAAAGAAGAAATATACAGTATGAGATCACAAAATCTGATAATTAATGACAGAGCACTTTTAAACTTTAGTAAATGTTAATCCATGTCCCAAGTAATCCATGAAATGAGTATGTACTGAGACTGAAAAGACTCTACTATTAATGGTGTGGAGCTGTAGGGTAAGCACTGAACTGCTACCCACAATGTTGGTGGTTCAAACGCATCAGCTGCTCCTAGAAAACCCTACAAAGGCTTGTTATGAGTTGCAACCAACTCAACAGCATTTAGCAACAATAATCAGTGAAATTTTTACTTCCATCCTATTATCATTTTGTTCCACAGAAAGAAAAGTTTCTCTCAGAAACATAAACAATCTTATCTGGCAAAGGTAGTGTGGTTTAGTGGAAATTGAGTAAGTGCAATGTACACTTTCTGATCCAACATAAATTTTTCCTGGACCTGACTTATTTTTACCTTCTTCTAAATGTCAATGACCAAAGGTCAATTTGATTCCTTCTGCTATAAAACCTCATAATGTCATTTTTAAACGTCTGCAATTCCAAGGGATACTGTGGAGGTGGAATACAACAGTTACCTGAAGCAAAGAGCCCTGGATTCTTCAGCCCAAGATGTCTTGTTAAATCAAGAATTATTACTTACTCTCATCCTTATTAATTTTTCTACTCTGTATGTTATTACCATGACACATATAATCCTAATTATAATTAGCAGTTTTCATTGCTGGACTATATGTTTTAATAAACTTTCTAAACAAGGAAGAAAGTGCATGGAACAATGAGTATGTTTGTATAATCTTCAACTTTAAGTCCTCTCTGACTTCCCTGCCTGCCTCCCCCACCATGAACAGAAGGGATTTTATCAATTACATGTATGACTTCTATTTGTCATAACATGGTTGTTAATGTATTATTATAGCCCAAAAGAATGGAAGGAAGCCAATATTTAGATTGTCTACCACTGGTCTCCTGGTATAGCGATGTCGATTAATGCACTGGACTGCAAAGTCAGTCTGAATCACAATGTTGGCGGTTCAAGCTCACCAGCCATTCCTCAGAAACCCTACACAGGGCGCTGTGGGTTGGAACTGACTCAACGGCACTTAACCACCACCACCATTGTCCAATTGAAAGCCCAAGGGAAATCAAAGTTCCCCACACTTTAAGATAACTTTCTGTTTTTAAAATTATATATGTTGTTGTTATGTGCCATGGACTTCCGAGGCTGTAAGTTTTTACAGGAGCCTAATCTTTCTCCCATAAAACAGCTGGTAGTTTCTAACTGCTGACCATGAGATTAGCAGCCTGATTCGTAGCCACTATACTACCAGTATATGTGGGGACTTCAAAACTTGTGGGAAAATTTCATTATCTTTTAAATCTCATTTTCTAACGATGGTTTTGCAGTCCCCTTATATGAGAAAAAGCTTATTGTTTTGATGGTTTTAAGTGTGTCTTTCAGTGACATGACATTCACCATATTGTACTCACTATTCATTTTTAAACAAGGTATATCTCTCCAAAAGGATCATTTTCTTCTTATATATTAATGCAGATAAAAGTGAAAGGTAGAAATGAATGTAAAATTAATGTTCTCCCATGTAGACTATCACACAATTCATAATAAAACATTTAAAAAAAAAAAGTGAAAGGTAGAAAAGTTAGGGTGAAATCCAAGATTCAATTATCTGTGAGAATCAGAGATATAATGGTAGTTTCGTTACAATGACAAAGGAATAAATACTCACCTGCTGAAAAAGCACCAAAGCAGCTTTGTGTAGTCCTTGTGTATTTCTAACTATGTGTGTTTATTCAAGTGCCACCCTTGCTTCTTCCAAGTTACTTTTATATGAGAAAAAGCAAGTAAGATTAGAACCCTTAGATTGTTACTGTGGGGTTCAGGGTATAGAGAGAACAGTTCTCAATGAGATCCGTAAGAGAAGACAATTCATACTGAAGTGCAAGGAGTGTGTGTATACGTGTGTGCATTAAGGAGCTCCCTGGCAGGGTCTTGCCATCTCCCTTCAGCCATGCTAGGTAGCCAGGTCCCCTGGGGGACTTGCTGTACATGGAGACAGTCCTCTATAGAAGACCTGGACAAACTAGCCAGTTGTTGTTGTTAGGTGCCTTGGAGTCAGTACCAACTCACAGCGACCCTATGTACAACAGAACGAAACACTGCCCAGTCCTGGGCCAACCTCACAATTGTTGCCATGCTTGAGCCCGTTGATGCTGCCACTTTGCCAATCCATCTCGCTGGGGGTCTTCCTCTTTTTCTCTGACCCTCCACCTTACCAAACATGATATCCTTCTCCAGCGACTGGTCACTCCTGACAATATGTCCGAATATGAGAGACGAAGTTTGGCCCTCCTGGCCTCCAAGCAGGTTGCACTTCCAATATTCTCCTTCAACACCATACTCCGTACATAAAACATAAAAACCATGCTAGACTATTCCTCAAAGAAAGCCCCTTAGTGCTTCTGCTGACTCTGGTCTTTATTGTGTACAAAGAAGAAAAAATAAATAAATAAGAAAAGGACAAGAAGAAGTATGCAGAGACAGTTAAGTCTCATGTCATAAAAGAGAAGGGAGCATAGCAGCAAACAAAATACCCTGCGAAGTAGTAGCCATTTCAAATCCGATCCTAAACTCTTGCTACCACATTTTGCACCGGCTTTACCTTCTGAATGAAGTTTTCTACTTTGCTCTGCAGCCCCCACCACTTGAATTTGATGGTCACCAGCTTGTAGGCACACATCTGAGGACCACCTGGGTTGTTTGCCAGCTCCTTCTAGATGAGAAAAGTTGAGAAGGAGAAATCAGGACTTCGATATTTATGTTTTGATTAAAATGGACTGCCGTGTAATGACATCATAGGCATTTGTGGAGAAAAATGACAATCTCTGGTGTATACAATAACTATTTTAGCAGAAGCAGCAGTATTCCCCAGCCTTACACAGATGAAGTTACTTCCCAGCTCTAGAGTTTAATAGATGCATTGCTCTGCCTCAAATTACACTGTTCAGACTTCATATGAAATACCAAATAGTCTTCACATCGTATCAACAGTGAGTCCGTTATATGTGTTCTCCTAACAGCATTATCCTGCTCCCTTCGTGGCTGTGGCAAGACACAATACAAAATGATGAGGAAGTGGATTCTTCTTTTGTGTCCTCATATACTGGCAAGTAGGGTGGCAACTGAGACATTTTAAAAATTGAAGGGGGATATGAAAAGTCATGGAACAGCAAAGATGACCCATAATTATTACATGTTCAAAGGAAAATCGCATACATACGTACTTTTAATTTCTATAATTGATTATTACACCTCATTGTTTAAATACCAGGGAATCAAGACAAGACTTATTCTGATCATGGTGAGTGGAAGAGGGGGAAAGGCAGCAATGAAGAAATGGGCTGAGTACAACCACATTCCATAGACGCCCGATGACCTGAAGATGAGAGAGAGAAGAAGGGACTGGTTGCTCCAAAGTGTGGTGAGACCTGAGGACTCTTGAGCCCATGGACAAGAACATAGCCACAGAAGGCTAGAGCTGAGAGTGAAGCATCCAGCTGATACGAAGTGAGGGGAGATGCACAAGAATGCCCAAACTTGCAGACAGTACCCATTTGACCTAGCCTCAGAACTCAACTAGAGGAAAATTAAAACAACAACACACAACCATTTTTGATAAAGGAAACCAATGGTAAATTACTATAACTTGATGAATTTGAATTGAGCTACACTAATGGATGTGGTGGCCATGTGTTGTGGAGTTGGTTCCGACTCATATCGACCCTGTACAGGGTTTCCGAGGCTATAAATCTTTATGGGAGCAGAAAGCCTCATCTTTCTCCCACAGAATAGCTGGTAGTTTCAAACTGGTGATCATGAGATTAGCAGCCTGATTTGTAATCACTACGCTACCAGAGCTCCTTATCTAAAATTGTTGTTGGTGCTGTAAAGTGCCATCGAGTCGATTCTGACCCATAGTGGCCCTGTGTAGGGTGTCCAAGGAGCAGCTGGTGAGCTTGAACCACTGACCTTACAGTTCAAACGACTTTGCAGTCTGACACATTAACCCACAGTGCCACACCAGGCGATAAAGGCACGAAGTGACTGGCTTGCAAGTTTTCAAGAGGGAGTTTAAGAGTATGTGGGAGAAGATAAGAGTCCCGACTGAATAGTTTTCTTCTTGTCTAAATGGGTCTGGTAAAAAGAGATGGGGATAAGATTTCATATGATTCAACAGTGAGTAATTGCGACTGTCAAAACTGTAAAGGTTGAAGTTTTTTTAACAAAAACAGGGGAGTAGTTAATCTTACAGTCCAGAAACAGAGGACCCTAGGACCATCAAGGGAGACGAGCACAAATGGAATGTGGGACCTCATCCAGAGAGGCAGCAACACCAGAGATGGAGGTAGAGATGGGGACATGGAGAGAGAGAGCAGCTGAGGACTCTAGATTCATGGAAAGAGAGTAACTGAGAACTGGCGCCCAGGAGGCAGACTTGCAAAATGTGCACGTTGGTGGTTTAAATTATTAAATATGCATGCGTGTTTAAAAAAAAAAAGCTAAAATGAATAGAGAGAAATGTTAACTGATGGTACATGGAGGGGATTATAATCATTGTAACGAAACAAAATGTATGATTTATTGAATGTAAAACTGATGATCTGTCCTGTAAACTTTCACTTAATTCACAATAAAAACTTGAAAAAATAAAAGGGAAAATACTTTTAATAGAAAAAAAGGTGAGGGAGAGCATGTGCATGAACAAGTGAGCTGGGAGGGACTATTCTAGATTATAAGAGACTACAGAGATACAATACACATATATTGTGAGCATATAATGTCTGCATTTTCTTTCAAATAATTTAGCCAAATAGTTTTTTAAATGCACATATTGTGTGGAGGAGGGAGGAAAATGGGGATACAGAGAAGGAAAGCAGATATGATAAACCGCTAACAACTGCTGAATCTAGGTGGAGCAGTTGTTGTTCCAGTCTTTCAGTTTGTGGGTGTCTACAATCTATTACAAGGAGCTCTGGTAGCGTAGCGGTTACGAATCAGGCTGCTAACCTCAAAGTTGGCAATTCAAAACTACCAGCCATTCCGAGGGAGAAAGATGAGGCTTTCTGCTCCCGTAAAGATTTATAGCCTCAGAAACCCTGTACAGGGTCGCTATGAGTAGGAACCAACTCCATGGTACTTAATGACAATCTATTACATTACTACTTCTGTGACACTGACCAGTGTAGGCTTTTGTGCATTTTCTTTTTTGGCAGGAATGAGGCTCATCAAGGTGATGTGTGCAGGAGAGCAGCACCCTCCTGAGTTGACCCAGAGCAGAGCCTGGCACACTCACAGTGGCAAGCAGGCCCGGCCAGGGTCTCAAGTCTGCACAAATCTAGAGGGGCAGGGCCACTCCGAGAGGCTCAATGCTCACTCAGAGATGGTTAGGGCAGTAGATACACACCACTCCGGTCAAATCCACCCAGACTCATAGTTTTTCTCTCCACCCTTTATTCTTTAACAGAAACATATTCACCACATTGAAGCTGTAAAACAGTTAAGATTTTCCCCCCTAACCTGTAGAAATTCACTACCTGGGTAAGACTACAGAGGCCCTTCTATAAAAATTAAAATCATTGAGCCAAAGAGCAGAGCAGTGTTTTCCAAAGGCTTGTCCACCCTACTGGCAGCATCACAGGCCAGTAGCAGTCCCACTGTGCACCATTGACAGAGATCACTCAGTCTCACACACCACCTTCAGCAAACATTCTCCCATTTAGTTACAGACACAGTCATTTTAAAAAAAATGATGGATCCCTAGGTCTTAGTCTAAATCCTCAAGATTATTCTTCATTATGAAATCATAACACCACACCACTTTTTTTTTCCTCCAAAGTCTCCATAGTATTCTGAGTGAATTCTAAGGATAAGATAGATGAACGAGTTCTACCTTGGTATTATTAATGAGACTGAAAGTTCTGTACAGTCCTGCATGATTGATCAACTTTTCTGAGAAAATCTCTTCTGTAATAACATTTCATCTTCTGAATAATGACTTAGTGCATGGGTTAAATCAATGAGGTAACACCAACAAGCATTTAAATAAAAATATCACACCAAACTGTCCATCTGCAGGTGAATTCTACATCAACAGCAGAACCTGGCTAGCTTAACCCATTTCCCTCCATAACGTTCTTATCCATATAGAGCAGCAATGTGAAAACTCAACATTCATTACGCTGTACTGTACAAACAAATCTTATTCGGCAAGTATTTTGTGGGTGCCAATTCCCATTTTTTCTGTTGCCATCAAGTGGACTCCGACTTACAGCGACTCTGTAGGAGAAAGTCAAATTGCTCCCTAGGGTTTCTGAGGCTGTACATCTTTACAGGAGCCGACCACCCCATCTTTCTTTCTCTCTTGGGATGGCTGGTAGGTTTAAGCCACTGGCCTTGAGGCTAGCAGTTGATCAATGAGCCCACTGCGCCACTAGTGCTCTTGCGTGTGCGCGCGTGAACACACGCATGCACACACAGACCCACACACTTCCCACCAGGTGCCAATTACACAATACCCTAATTCTGTGCTAGGTACTGTCAGGGAACACAAAAGTGGAGGATAGAGAAAAGAATAAAATCACCAGTGTATATGATGTCAATAGATTCTTTCAAAGGATGCCCTTCTTCTGTAGATGCTGGGGGTCTGTCCTATAATCATTTATATACTGCCCTCCCACTGCTTGACCTGCAGGCCCCTGACACTTAAGTTGGTTTCCTGTGTGGAAGCCAACCAGCTTTCCATAGGATACAGATGGCTTCTAAGTAGCTAGCCTTATTGATTTGGGCATGTGTAGAAAATGGCACTCAAAATTGTGAATTAAACTAGCCAAGCATTAGTGTTAGACTAAAAGGGGACTTGGGTTGTAGCTCCCAACTTCTTGTGCAACTTCTTGTGCAACATGGGCAGGATCCTTGATTTTCCTGGACCTTGCTTCTCTTTCTGTAAAAGGAAAGGCTAGACTCAACCAGAACCTGTGAATTATGGACTAGTAACTGTTTGGAAACTCCCCATCATTGGCCATCTTGTTTCAAAGAAAATCCTTGGGTGTTTTCAGTAGAACCCTGACTCTTTAGAATTCTTTTTGTAAAAATAGCAGGATGAAGCCTGGTTCTAATTAAGGGGTAAGTTAAATGTAAGACAAACAGGCCTACCTCAAATCTGGGTTCCAAGAACAGAGTGCACACACGTGCCTTCCACAATTAACCACGTTTGTTTCTCACATTCTTTCCAGGGATCCTGTCAGGCTGCTCAAATCAATCAAGGTAATACTGGCAATGTATACGGAACAGTGGTCTATAAAATGATCTAAGGAACTGAAAAATAACAGCACAAAAGACTGAAGTAAGCTAGCTCCCAAATCTGAACTCAGTTTCTATATGTTTTCTCTTCTCTACCCAACTTGCAGGTAAGAAATCACTTACCAAAAAAAAAAACTTCAGGAAGAAAAAAGCATCCAAGAGCCAACATTTCACATAGTATGAGGCACAGGAGGTAATCCTACAGGAACATCATCTCAGTACCACCAGGAGAAGGCAGTGAACCTACAAGTTGGATTTTCTCCTTGAATTATCAACAGACACATAATATTTAAGGTCTCTTCCAATTCTAAAAATGATTTTTGCGATTCACCTCTCAATTTGAGGTATAGTCTTAAATTAAGTAAGACCTTAATTAAAGTTTACAAATAGCTTAAAAATTCTCCACTTAGGGTA